ATGTGAAGACACCAGGTGGGCAGAGGGGTCTTCCCCTTGGGCTGTTGGTCCAGCACCCCTTGTGGGCAGGTCGTACAGGGCGCTCTCCTCTTCTTGCCCTAAGCCCCAAATCAGAACTGGAGCCAACCCCTGGCAAGTATTCACCCAGAGGCTGGTCTGCTCAGAAGGGTAGAGGACCCATGGCGCCCCCCAGGAAGCTTCTAGAACACTCGCAGAGTGCCAGGTGCTGGGTTCAATGCACCCCCTGTACCAGCTCACCTACTCCCAAACCACAACTCTGACAAGCAGGTCCCGTAATTGTCCCCATCTTTTGGATCAGGAGACAGAGGCTTGACCTGGCTCATGACCAGTGAGGAGCAAAACAGGTCTCCAGGCAGTTCTGGAAAAGGGTCGGTGAGGCCAACCTTCGGGGTCTTAATGACACAATGATTTGGGGGAAGGGAGATATTCTAAGGCCCAAAGGCAAATTTGGGGCTTCGACCCATGCTCCCACCCACAGAGAGCCCTCGCCTAGAACCCTCCCGGCAAGTGTGCCTTGTCACATAGTCCAGGGCAATATTAGCCACCAGGGGAGCCTGGGTGGCGCAGGTGGTTAGGCATCCGCCTTCGGCTCAGGTGGTGGTCCCAGGCTGCTGGGGTCGAGTCCTGCATCTCCACCCTGCCCATCCAAGGCCTGTCGCACTTGGCCTCCCCTGGAATCTGCACCCCAAACCCGCGGACAGGGTGATGGAGAAGAAGCACTTCAAACCCCACATCACAATTTTTTTTTCCCTTTCATTACCTTGGCCTTCCTTTAGCCTTGCTTTGCTTTCTCATTGAGAAAGCATCATTGAGAACAGGATGAAGAAGGGACACTGTGGAGAATGCATAAACCGGGTCCAGAGAACAATTCGACACCGTCATCCCAAGCACTGGCCCTGACCCTAAAAGCCTCCAAAGCCTGACAATCAGGCAAGAAAAAGACAACGGCTCTCGACGTTCCGGGAAGCATTTGAGGGGGCTCTAGAGAACTAAACGAGTTGATGGATAGTTTTTCACTGGCCATGGGGCTGTCGCCTGAGAGGGGGGAGCATCCTCAAAAGGCTCATTTTGGTCTGTTTTGTGTTCGAGTCTCACCGGACATTAGATAAGCCTTCAAAAGCCAGGGCAGCAAGGAAGCATAAGCATTTAAAAAGCCAGAGATGGGGGCACCTGGGTGGTTCAGTGGTTGATCATCTGCCTTTGGCTCAGGTCGTGATCTCAGGGTCCTGGGATCGAGTCCCGCATTGGGCTCTTCGAAGGGAGCCTGCTTTTCCCTCTGCCTGTGTCTCTGCCTCTCTCTGTGTGTCTCTCATGAATAAATAAAAATCAAAATAAATAAATAATAAAAAGCCAGAGACATACACCCACATTTGCAGCAACCTTACTCGCCATAGCTAAAATGTGGAAGCAACCCAAGTGCCCATCCATGGATGATGATAAATAAATGTGGTCCAACCACACAATGGAAGATCACTGAGCCTGAAAAATGAAGTTCAATGCACACACACAACGTGGATGAACCTGGAAGACATACTCAGTGAAATAAGCCAACGGCAGGAGTCCAGACACTATAGGATTCCACTTCTTTGAGTCCCTCAAGAAGTCCCATCCATATAGACAGGAAGTAGACGGTGGGAGCCAGGGGAGGGGAGGGAGTGGAAAGTCAGTGTTTCATGGGGACAGAGTCTCCGTGTGGGGAGATGAGAACATCTGGAGATGGAGAGTGGGGATGGTTGCACGACAGTGTGAGTATATTTAATGCCACTAAATTGTGCACCTAAAAATATTTAGGATGGGCCCACACCCGGCTGGCTGAGATGATAGTGCATGCGCGTGACACTTGATCTCAGGTTTGTGAGTTTGAGGCCCGCATTGGGTAGAGAGCTTACTTAAAAAAAAAATCATAAGAAATAAAAAGCCCAAATCTTTAAAAAAGAAGAAGAAGGGATCCCTGGGTGGCGCAGCGGTTTGGCGCCTGCCTTTGGCCCAGGGCGCGATCCTGGAGACCCAGGATCGAATCCCACGTCGGGCTCCCGGTGCATGGAGCCTGCTTCTCCCTCTGCCTGTGTCTCTGCCTCTCTCTCTCTCTCTCTCTCTCTCTCTCTCTCTCTCTCTCTCTGTGACTATCATAAATAAATAAAAATTAAAAAAAAAAGAAGAAGAAGAAAACTTAAAATGGTGAATTTTATATTATGTGCATTTTACCGCAATAAAAGGAATTAGGGGAAAAAGAAGAGGCCAGGGGCACGGGTTCCAAGAACAATCATTTCAACATCTGCTACTAGGAGAGGACGATGCTTCGCCGAGGGGTCCTCAGCTCTGATCACGCACCCGGAGCAGCTGACAGCAAGGCCAGATGCCAGGAGCCACGTACCTCAGCAGGTGGTCACAGCAATATGTGCAGAGCCACACCCTCCCCCATGACAAAACCCCCAGTGCAGAAAAAAACAAGGCTATTCTCAAAAGCAAGAGATTAGGAAAAAAAAAAAACAAGCAAAAAAAAAAAAAACTGCTCACATCAGGAACATTTCTGCAGATAATACCATTCTGGATATTTTGACGAAAATGTGTACAGAAATAAATCCACAGAGGAATGTCTTAAATTATATCTCAAGACACAAGAGCCCGGAGCATTTCAAACAAGAGACCTAAATTTGGAGACCTCAGCATTGGAATAATAAAAGCATGTTCCCTATTTCCCTGGTGCCCCAACTACAAGTGGCTCAGCCATTTCTAAACCGAGGGTACAACCTTCCCCCAACCCTTGCCTTTTTTGTGTCTCGGCCTTGGCCCGAACCCCAACTGTCTTTTATTAGCTGTGTGGCCTTAGGGAAGTTAAGGAACCCCTCTGGTCTCTAACATGAGGATAACAGTGCTCCCCTTGCAGCCGTGTGCCCTTGTGACATAGATCCTGAACATCCCCTTCTCCCCTCACCATCGTGAATGCCAACCCCCCCCCAAATCCATGGCTCCCAGTTGATCCACCCATACCTGCTGCCCACCCACGCGTCGGAAGCTTGCCTGTTCTACAAAATTCCAAACCCACAAGTAGTCACTCGACTTCTGCTGAGACTTTGCCCCAACTTTGTGATTTCGACTCTCTCTGTCCCTGACCTGCCAACGTCTCCAAGATTGCTCCACAATATAATAATCATCGTACCCTCCTCCATCCTCAAACAACGAGGCTCTCTTTCCCTTCCCCGCCCAGCCTTTCAGAAGAGGTGTGGCTTTCACTCTCACCTTCTGTTACCCCACAACCCAACACCTGGGCCTCAGAGGGGCTCCTCCCCAAGGCTCAGATGGCTTCTCACTGACAATTCTGTGGATTGTACTCAGGACTCACCTTGTGTGGCTTCCCAATAGCTTTGGGCTCAGGGGAGAAGACCCTCCTTTGTCCCTTCCCTTGTATCTTTAGTGATACAACCGTTAAGCCCCCCCACTCACTTTCTCCCACCTCGATCTCGTGTTCACTAACTCTTCCCAGGGAATTTCATGATGTATGAAAGAGTCAAAACAATAAAAAAGTAACGGGTGTGTATTTGGAACATGTTTCCCTGGTTATGAAAACATTATAAAAGTACAGTGATTAGAACAGGAGCAGCCTTGGTGCAAGGAACATATTTATGGACATCCAGAAAGAGACCCCAAATCAAAGACAAAGCAATAAATTTCTGCAATAAACAGCAGTGAGACCCCCGCAAGTTATTTTGGGGGAAAGGGGCATCCTTTTGAATCATGCACATAGATCCCAAAATCCCAGATGAATTTTTTCTTAATGATAATTAAAATTAAAATAGGAAATTTGGAAAAAAGAAAAAAAACATTCATTTTACAGATGGAAAAGGACTTTCTAAACATAAAGTAACATGAGAGGCACGCAGAGATCCAGCTCCGGACTCCATAAACATTTGAAGCTTCTCTGGCAACTGACATCCAGAGCGTTTTCACCACTGAATAAAAATGTCTGAAAATACAATTGGCAGAGGGTCAATGGCTTTCATCTATGAAAACCACGCATTGACTAGGATTTCGAAAACCACTAACCTACTAAAAGATAACTGGACAAAGCATATGAACAGGAAGAGAAAACCCAAATGATAAACATGTTTTAAAAGGCTCAACCCCAATAGCAATCAAAGAAATGCAAATACAAACAATGACAACACCTCGGCCCCTCCCTCCAATAAATTATGAAAGAGGTTTCAAACAACACTCAGAGCCGGCCAAGGTGTTCCCTGTCGGCCAATGCTAGGAGGAGCGCCCGTCAACACGACATTTCCGCAAAGTCATTTGGCAACTGGCATCCAGAGCCTCTGGCCCAGAAATTTCACTTCTGGAGAAGCAAGGCCTAAAGAAACAACTGCTCGATAAGGCTCTGATCCCAAAATGTTCATCCTTCTCTTGAGAACTGGAAATCACCTCACTGTCCAAAGACGGGGAGAGGTAAGTAAATAAATAAAGACACGAGAGAACCACTAGAAGGAAGTAGCCCCACTAATGGTAGAGTAAGGACCGTGGCTGTGCTTCCTTCCTTGACCCATTTCTTTTCCCAAACATCTACCCTGAGCGATCTTACTTCTATAATCAGAGAAGAAATAAACTTTTTCTTTCCCCCCCACAACGAAGTTCGCACACATCACCTCTACCCGCCTTCTCAAGCAAGAGGAACATTCCACTGCCCGGCCCAGGAGTTGGCAAAACCTGGCCCCCAGCTTGGCTTGTAAATAAAGTTTTATTGAAATGTAGCCATGCCCACATGTCTATGTGCCATGCAGACCACTTTCCTGCCACAAGGGCGGCGCTGAGGAGTCGTAATGGGAGACCACACAGCCTGCAAAGTCGGAAGTGCTTCATATCAGAGGTCCCTCCACCCCCCCGCAGAGAAAGGGTGCCACCCCCTGGCCCCCACGAAGGCCTCCAGCTTCTCCCTAACCAACAAGGCATGAGAGGCGACTCAGAGCCCTGCACCCCCCGCATACCTTTCTGGCAGTGGCTGTGTGTCCAACACCGCTCGACAAACTGCCCATTGATGACAGTGGCAGGGCAGTTGGTCTTGCCCTTGGCAGTGCCTGGACAGATGTCCCCACACTCCTCGTTGTCGTCTTTGTTCAGCACGATATAATTATCCTCCACAGAATCCAGGATGCGGGACCAGTCGATGGTGGCCAGGTAGCAGAGCTCATTGTTCTTCTCGATGCGGACAGAGCCCCGGGTGATGTTCATCAAGCTGTAGAGGCCAAGCTCCTTCAGGTGGACCATCTCGAAGATGACCAGCGCATAGTTGAAGAAGAGGCGCGAGCCCCGGATGACCGTGAGGTTGGGGAACAGGTCCTTCAGGCTCTCCAGCCCATAGACCCGGAAGAGCAGCAAGTAATCAGTGATCATGATGAGTTTGGGGAAACTGAGGTCTCGGAAATCCTCGGGCCTCGTTTTGAACATTAACAGTATCTGCAAATGTCCTTCAATGACCGAGCAGTTGGCCAGCTCATGCAGCCTCGTTAGGTTGTTCCGGATATCCATGCCAGGACACACTGGAAGGAAAAACAAGCAGAAAGCAAGACAGGTGAGCAAACATGCCACGGATGGGTTAGAAGAAGTAGTGGCAGGGCCAGCTTCGCAGGTGTGCAACCTGAGTCGCGAGACCCACTCAGAAGGGCCCTGCCTGGGGCTCGGGGCTCTTCCATCTATCTTGAAATCCTTAATCATTTTTGAGCAAGGGGCCCCATGTTCCCATTCCACACCGGGGCCCCACAAACACCATAGCGAGCCCCGATGCGTGGTTTTCTCTAGAGGGTCTGTCCCTAAGTCACCACTTGCAGAAGGCAAAGCACGTAAGTCCTTTGGCGGTACTGTTAGCGGCCTTAGAGCCACCCCGTTGAATATGACGTGGTGGAGACACTAGGACTACGTGGGATTGAGTGACACAGCAGGTGCAGAAGGGGCAGGGGAGCCGACCCCGGCGAGTCAACTTTGGAGAACTTCAGGAGATGATTTTATGGGCCCTGGGGGGCTCAGTGGTTAGCTGAGGTCATGATCCCGGGGTCCTGGGATCAAGTCCCACGTCGGGCTCCCCTCAGGGAGCCTGCTTCTCCCTCTGCCTGTGTCTCTGCCTCTCTCTGTGTCTCTCATGAATAAGTAAATAAAATCTTTTAAATAAATAAATAAAATCTTTAAACACACACACTATTAAGAAAGCAAAGAGAGGGGTGCCTGGGTGGCTCAGTGGTTGAGTGTCCACCTCTGACTCAGGTCATGATCCCGGGGTCCTGGCATCAAGTTCCACATCGGGCTCCCCACGGGGAGCCTGCTTCTCCCTCTGCCTGTGTCTCTGCCTCTCTCCATCTCTCATGAATAAATAAATAAAATTTTAAAAAAAAAGGAGATGATTTTATGAGGATAAAGTTGCGTGTGTCAAAATGGGGCAAGGGGAGTTGAATTTGTTTTGTCAATTCTCCTCCCTCAAGGACTCTCCTTCCTGACCTGCCCTCCTCCCAGGCACAGGGTCACAGCCTTGTTCCCTGTCACCTGGGTGTGGCAAGGGCTTCCCAGGGCGTCTACTCTCCCCTGCACAAACACCCTACACGCCCATCTCCCAAAGACAGTCCTTCCCAGACTCCAGCACCTTCTCTGGCTCCCCGCCACCCTGCACGTCTGCCTCCCAGTCCTCGGGGATCCGCCCCCCCCCCTCACTCCCCTGCACCAACTGAACAGGCTGCCCACAACTCGCACAACTCCAAGGCTCCATGTCCTCCCCCGGAGCATGACCTATGAGAAGCAGTGAGCGGGGTAACACAGGCATTCGAGCAGTGCCCAGCACACAGTAGGTGCTCAATTAATGCCAGCTATCTTCCTGTTATGTCTCCCAAATGTATCACAATCATCTCGGGGCTCTATGCCTTTACTTCCCCAGCTGAGATAGGAAATACATTCAGCTTTGGGGTCACACGGTCCGTGCAGAAACTACTCCACTCTGCCACTGGGGCTCAAAAGCAGCCAGAGACAGTATGTGAATGAGTGGGTGTGGGTGTGTCCCAATAAAACTTTATTTACAAAAACGGGTGGTGACCCTTGCCCTGGCCCAATGCTGCCCAACAGAACTTTCAGCACTGACGCAAATGTTCTGTATCTGTGTTGTCCACTATAGAGGCCACCAGCCATTTGTGGCTCTCAGGCATTTCAAATGTGGCCCATAAGACTGAGGAACTGAATATTTAACTTCACTTTAGTTAATTTAAGTGGAACTAGACACATGTCGCCGGTGGCTACCGTATTGGACAGGGTGGCCCTAGCTCTGTTGGCTCTCAAAGCCCTTTATGCCTTAGCTCCCAGCCCATCATCCTTCGAGATCCAGTCAGGGGCCCCTGGGTGGCTCAGCGGTTGAGCATCTGCCTTCAGCTCAAGTCGTGATCCTGGGGTCCTGGGATTGGGTCCCACATCAGGTTCCCTGCAGGGAGCCTGCTTCTCCCTCTGCCTGTGTCTCTGCCTCTCTGTGTCTCTCAGGAATAAATAAATAAAATCTTAAAAAAAAAAAAGATCCAACTCAAATGCCACCTCCTCCAGACACCCTTCTCTGATTTCCTTTCACCCATATACCTACTGGAAGCTTTCCCTTCTCCTTGTGCCCCTTAAACTTGAGTTAACATTCATCATAATCAAACTCCTGAGGCCGCTTCTCCTTGCCAACATACAGACACACACACACACACACGCACGCACACGCACACGCACACACACCCCACCCTCCCTCAGCACCTGGAATATAAAGCTCAATACACAACTTCTACTTATTGTATTCAGAGACACTAACCTGTCCCCCAATATCTTTAAGGCAAATAGATGATTCTAAAGAATAGAAAATCCCCCTAAAAATCTATCCTGACTGGAGGAGCCCTGGTGGCTGAGCAGTTTAGTATCTGCCTTCAGCCCAGGGCGTGATCCTGGAGTCCCGGGATCGAGTCCCACGTCGGGCTCCCTGCATGGAGCCTGCTTCTCCCTCTGCCTGTGTCTCTGTCTGTGTGTGTGTGTGTGTGTGTCTCTGATGAATAAATAAATAAAATCTTTTTAAAAAAAATCTATCCTGAGAACTCTAGAGCACCTGAGGGGCTCAGTCAGTTAAGCGTCTGCCTTCGGCTCAGGTCATGATCCCAAGGTATTGGGATCGAGTCCCACGTCAGGCTCCCTGCTCAGCGGGGAGTCTGCTTCTCCCTCTGCCCTTCCCCCTGCTCTTGCGTGCGCACTCTCCCTCTCTCTCTCTCTCTCGCTCTCTCTCAAATAAATGAATAAAATCTTTTTTTTAAAAAAACTATTAAAAAAACAGCAAAGCAAACAATCAGGGGAATATAGCTGTAATGCCTCTTAGTCACATTCTATGTAGATTAGGCTAAATCAAGGCAAAACACACAAACACACACACATACATACACACACATGCTCTCATCTACTCACCAGGAAGTTGGTGACAAGGACACAGGTTGCAGCCCCACACACTCATGCCACCCAAGCCCCATGTAAGGCTCCCAGCTGAGGTCACATTCACAGCACCCATATACAGGGGTCAGTGCGGGTACGGCGCCACTGACACCTCCCACAAGCCCTGTCCCCACCTACCCAGTGGCAGGAAGCAGTGCCAGATCTGGCAAATAAAAATGCAGGATGCCCAGTTAAGTTTAAATTTCAGATAAGCAACAAGTATTTCTTTTTTTTTTAAGAGTTTTTTTTATTTATTTTTTTTATAAATTTTATTTTTTTTCTTCTTATTTATTATTTATGATAGTCACAGAGAGAGAGAGAGAGAGAGAGAGAGAGAGAGGCAGAGACACAGGGAGAGGGAGAAGCAGGCTCCATGCACCGGGAGCCCTATGTGGGATTTGATCCCGGGTCTCCAGGATCATGCCCTGGGCCAAAGGCAGGCGCCAAACCGCTGCACCACCCAGGGATCCCTTTTTTTATTTATTCATGAGAGACACAGAGAGAAAGAGGCAGAGAACAGGCAGAGGAAGAAGCAGGCTCCATGCCAGGAGCCTGATGTGGGACTCGATCCCAGGTCTCCAGGATTATGCCCTGGGCCAAAGGCAGGCGCCAAACCACTGAGCCACCCAGGGATCCCCGCAACAAGTATTTCTTTAGTATAACTCTATCCCATGCAATGTTTGGATACTTATTCTTAGAAACTGTTGTTTATGTGAAATTCAAATTTAGCCAGGTGCCCTTTTATCTGGCAACATATGGCTTAGGTTTGGCCACAGTTCTGGCCTTCTCAGGTCTGAACCCCATACTATGTTTTACACACACACACACACACACACACACACACATTAAAATTGGTCCAGGAGCAAAAAACACCTGCCTGCCATCCTCCCCAGGCCACGGCAAAACCAGATATGAATGTTCATTTAAGTATTGGACACCAGGGAAATGCAAATCCAAGCCACAATGAGATACCACTTCACTCCCACTAGGGTGGTTAAAATCAGAGATGGACAATAACAAGTGTTGTCAAGGATGCAGAGCAACTGGAACCCTCCTACATTACCAGTAAGAATATAAAATGATGCAGCTGCCATGGAAAACAGTCTGGTGATTCTTCAAACCATTAAGCAAAGAGTTACCACATGACCCAGCAATTCCACTCTTGGGTAAATACTCCAGAGAAATGAAAACACAACCACACAGAAACTTGTACAGGCATACCTCGAAGATAGTGTGGGTTCGGTTCAAGGCTACCGCAGTAAAGCAAATATCTCCATAAAATGCATCAAATGAATTTACTGGCTTCCCAGTGCATATAAAAGTTACATTCAGGGCACGTGGGTGACTCAGTTGGTTAAGCATCCGACTCTTGATTTCGATTCGGATCATGATCTCAGGGTCGTAAGATCAAGCCCCTCATCAGGGGCTTGTGCTCTACACTTGTGCTGGCTGTAGAGCCTGTTTAAGATTCTCCCTCTCCCTCTGCCCCTCCCTCCCCCATCCTCTCTCTAAGGAAAAAAAAGTTATATTCACAGTATACTATGTAAAAAAAAGTTTAGTAAGCATGCAATAGCATTATCACTAAAAAAAAAGTACTCCCCTTCATTAAAAAAAAATGGTGTATTGCTAAAAAAAAATGCTAATGATCATCTGAGCTTTCAGTGAGTCATCATCACTGATCTCTGATCACCAAACAGAATTTTACAAAAGTCTGAAATATTATGAGAATTACCAAATGTGACACAGAGACACAAAGTGAGCAAATGCTTTGTAAAAATGACACGGAGAGACTTGCTCGACAAAGGCTTGCCACACACCTTCAACTTGTAAAAAATCACAGTATCTGCGAAGCACGATCAAGTGGAGTGCAATAAAACGATGTGTGCCTGCCTGTATACAAATGGCCACTGGCGCAGTATCCACTAATAGGCAAAAAGGAGAAACAGCCCAATGTCCATCAACCAATGAACAGATAAACAAGCTGTGGCATCGCCATACGATGCAAGGTGGCTCAGCCTCAAGAGGGAACGAAGTTCTGATATGTGTGACCTGGATGGAGTCT